GAGGAAAAAAGCCGACAGACTGAAGAGCAACAATGCGATGCCAATGAGGCGTTCGCACAGCGATCAATAATTTCAACTGTAATGGATTTAGAAGCTGTAATGGCAGAATTGCATGGTACAACAGTTGACTCAACACTTTCTGATATTATGCAAATGCAACCATTAAGTCAAACACAAGCTAATACACTTCGAAACACACAGAATACCGAGGAGTTAGCGAATAGAGAATATGTGGATTTGGTGCGACAGTTAAACTCAGAATCTGGGCCTAATTTAGCAGATTATATTAATGTTAATACTGAATCGTTGGGGCTTGAGGATTCAACTACTATTTCACAGCAAGCGATAGATGATGGGGAATTTACGCCACACAATAGAGAATACGGGGATTTGGTGCAACAGTTGAATTCAGAATCTGTTGATACTGAGTCTTTGCAGCTTGGAGATTCAACAACTATTTCACAGCAAGTGATATGTGATGGGGAATGCACGCCACCATATTACGAATTCACTACGTTGCTATCGGTGACATCTACACAATCACCGACGAATATGCCAGTTGAGGCCGAGGTTTCATCAAATTCGGGTGGAGCCCATGCGTTCGAACTTCGTGGTGCATGTCATACATATACGGGATTTTTGCCTTAAATGGTATGTTCATCTGTTATTCGATAAGTAACTTTTGACAAATAAACGCGCAAGAAATAGTTCCGATACTCTCAAGTCAATATTTTTATCAATATTCAATAGTCAATATTCTTATTAAGTCTCATCAAAAAATTCCGTATGGTTTAGATAAAAAGGGTATGCCGCATCATACCAAAGCCAGCTTCTCGACATAAGCTACCATTCCATACGAACACAGATATGTTTACGTACACGTTCATAATTGAATCGATTATTTCAGAAATCCGTCAAGCGCCTTAATACACAAATAATAGCTAAGAACGAAATATTCTTCTTTACATGTAAGTGCTCCGATTAGTGCTTAAATTTGCCAAAAACCATTGTCATATGGAATGAAATTCAAGAGTTTTTATATGTTTTTAGAGTGTTTGTTTACATTTCTATATGTTTTGTTTTTGAATTTTTGTTTGTTTTGTATTGTACGTTATGTAAACAGTTTCAAATTAGATTTATTGAAATTACAAACAAAATTATTTGTTTTAATAAAATGACCCGATATGATAATCTTTTTAACAAAAAATTAAAAAAAATGCTCTCCATTGTTTTTAGTTTTCTCTAAACTGCATTTTTGGCACTTGACGAGTTTCTGAAATAATCGATTCCACCGAGTATTCATTATAAATAGATATTAAGTTTTAATTTAATTTTTTTTTATTTTTTTTTTGTTATTAATCAAATATATATCGTCACCAGTTCGAAAACGCCCTATCTCAGAAAACTTTTCAAGAACGCCCTACTTCTGAATTTTATTGAAAAACACCCTATCTCAGAATTTGGTTGAAAAACGCCCTGTCTCAGCTGAAAATACATTAAAAACGTGCTGAGATAGGACGTTTTTAAATCGGCAGTAGAGATAGGGCGGTCTTCAACCAAATTCTGAAGTAGAGCGTTCTTGCAAAGTTTTCGGAGATAGGGCGTTTTCGAACTACCTGCCGAAACAGGTCGATCTTCCACTCAGGTATCGATATGTAATACAGGCAACTAAAATTTTAATTTTGCCAAAAACTGAGAAATGTTATTCTACCACACGCATATGTATGTATAATTAATGATTAAGTATGCTACAATATAGGAATGCTCACTTAAATAATCTAATGTTTACTTATACAATTCATAATTCCCTTTCTTCAGTGTTATTTTTTCGGACATCCTCTCTTCAACCCAGTTTTACATACAACTTACATGCTTACTTATTCAGGTTAGCTACAGCAGGTTAGTTATAAAAGGAAAATAGTTAAACAACGCTTTGGAAGGCAATTATGTACATATGTATGTACCGTATGTAGGTACTATTAAAACACAATTTTGTATATTTTTTCGAAAAAGGTTAGCTTTTATTATTTCTTCGTAAATCGAAAACAGTGTTTACGCAAATCAGTATCTCAGTAACACATAACAGAATAGGTAAAATGATCCAAATTAATGTTAAAAAAACTTCATTTTTTACATTATATGTATTTGCATAAACTCTTACAATAATTAGTTTACACACACAATGGTATATATTTATATTCATTTATTTTAAGCGTGAAAAATTCGAAAACTTATTTTTCGTATAGGACTCGCAAAGAACGTTTAGGCATTGTCATTTCAGGCTTATGTTACATTTTAAGCATTGTTCAAGTTTGTTCGTGCTGTGGAGGTGGTTGTTGTGGCTTAAATTGATACGGCCAAAATTTTGCTGTTGGTTTCACTTTAGCTAGGTAGCTGCTGATTTTGAGCAAAAAACAAAAAAGATTGTAAATAAGGGGCTTTGGCATAGTTTATGTTTTTTGAAAAATTGGCAAAATGTACAAATGCTGTTGTTAGTTAAGTTTAGAAAATATGTTTGTAGCTGTGTGACTATGTACATATGTATTGAAATGTATGCTTTTAAGATATTTAATTATAGTTCTTTATATTAATTTTTATACTATTTATTGCACAAAATTGGTTTTTTATGTTCGTTTTGTTCGTGGAACTAGTTAATTTTTGTTATTTTTGTTAGACTGTAGACAAGCCAAAGAAGTGCTCAATTATTTGTCAATTACCAAAAAAAAAACTAAAATCTGCTATGAATTAAAATTTGATTAAAATCTGGAGAAGCGTGGGTGTATCAGTTCTTGACAGGATGGGCGGGTGTATTTTGTTTAGATAAACTTCATATTCGAGAATTTCAGAATGTCTCATAAAAGTGCTTAAATTATTAAAAATGATATATTAAATACAAAAAAAAAGAATGATATAGACCAACAAAACCCGCCGCATCGAAAAATCTCTGCTTGTAGGCGTTTGTTTAGAAGTGCAGCTCATGTTGCAGACTAGAAATTCCTAATTTTTGCGTTACAGAATTTTCAATTATTTAGAAGAAAACTTGTGCATCAAGCAGGTCAAGTGACATATTTTAAACAGAGGCTCAATAACCTCAGCAAAAAAAAAAAATAAATTTATATAGTAATTTGCAATTCCTGCAGCTGGCAGCTAATTTGCAATAATTCATGTGCATTTAATTATAAATAGATACATCCAAATATGTATGAATTCGTAAATATGTAAATATGTATACCTATTTCAGTAATTACTAAATTAGTGCCAAAAATATTTTTTGCGATTTTATATTAAAACATTTTCTTTTATTATTATAGTACGTTTCATGTTAATCTTAAGCAATATTTGTATTTATTAAATTAGCAGCAAAATGAGAGATATTTAGAAATTACATACAAGGCATGTATTTACTTTTCTAGCGGTTAGTCATAATTGTTATAGGGTAAAATGTTCATATAAAAAATAGTGTGTAACGAAAACGAAAGACGTACAAAAGTTTAATTTTATTATTTTTTTTAACACACATGCCAAATAGCTCGTCTTATGTATGTCACAAATGAATTAGGGCCTTATTTAATCACACACACACACGCACAAATACATACTACATACGTATATATTGAAATTTACATTAGAAGATTTATATGTAGCAAAAAATTTGACAAATATTGTATTTTTTACTTAAATGCATGTACTCTGAATGTGTACATACATACATACATTTAGTATGAAAGCAAAAGTATGCACATACACTCATATATATTATACTTAAAACTAAGATTAAAATAACTCAATTAAAAATATGTATGTATGTATATGTAAGTCGGAACGAGTTAATAATCATCATTTCAGCAATGCAGTGCAGTTAGTTTCAATTTCGATATCAAGTACTATGTATGTACGAGTATTTACAAAATGCAAGCAAATTTCGCTATAATCCACAGGCAGCGGCGACAACTCACCCATCATTCAGCTTGCGTCGACGTGCAACTGCGCTATTTTTAATTATTTCCGATATTTCACGACCGCCCGAACTTTCACCTTCCGACGTTGACGCGATCGTATCAGCAGCAGCTCTCAAGCCCGCAGCACCGCCGCCATCACCACTGCCACTGCTGCCGCCGCCTCCTGCACCAAGCGTTGGTGGACGCCCTAAATTCGAGAGGTTACGCACCAGGCTGAGTGCATCGTCGTGTTTTGGCGCGGCAGTGTGCTCCTCGCCACTTTGTTTTGTGCGCGTGGCATCATGCATTGTTGCCGATTTGCGTAGATTTGATACAGAGGCATGTGTTGAGCTATTCAGTCGATTCTTTAGCTCGGAACTCAAGTCCATGGGCATGAAGCCAACACAGCCGGATTTCGATTTGAGTATGCCTTTAACATGCGGTGGTGGCGGCTCGAAAGCCGACTTAGTTGGTATTGGTGGGTGGGAAGCTGCTGTGCGGAAGAGAAAGGTGAAAATTTGATCATTATTAAAGGAAATGTAATGTTTAATGTTGAATGGTGTAGAGGGTGTTCTTTATTATGCTTGAGGATGATGTTGGCTTGCATTTAAGTTCCTAACACATGCTTTGTTATTAACAAGAAAATAGCAAAATTTGTAAAATATTTAATGCGTGTAAATAAACTTAAAAAAAAAAATAAATGCATACAAACTAAAAATAATTACTCACGACTTTTACTATGCCAAATTATATGAAGTTCCCTTCAAGCCAAAATCCATAATATTGGTTTTCCATGCAAAAGTGCCTCTCGAACGAAATGTAGCGTTAATATTGTAATATATTTACGCGTATAGCACTGAAATATCGCTAAACATTTGCCATTTTCTAATTTTCAGTTTCCTTTTTTAATAGTAATATAGTAAGTATATCCATCGATGTGTCTATTATCGAACGATATCGATGATCCCGATCGGGGAAAAAAATTTGTTGCGCAAACTCGATATTCATGAAAAATACCAGGCGACCAGCATAGTACTGCTGGCATGATTGCTGGCATGGCTGCTTGATAATCAGTGCCTACTTTAAGGCGCAAAGTAAACTATGACACATGCTTGGCGCGAAAATGTAGCCACAGACCAGGGCTGCCAACTAATTTAAATGCTCACCCAGTGTTCGCTAAAAAATCTAACAGTTTTGCTTGTATTGCAAATCGATTTTGTTATATTTTAAAGTTTTCTGCTGATTTATCCGATTTTTTCGCGTTGAACAAATCAGTAGAGGCCAATAAAACTTTTTTCGTTTCATTTGTTGACATTTTTTATTTATTTTTGCTTTAGTTAGCTTAAGTTAATCGTATTTTTCATATTTTGCATATTTCATAATTTTTCATAGGTTTTGTTTTTTTAATCTTTATATTTTTTATTTGGTTTTCATTTTATTTTATTTCACCCACATTTTTTTATTTTAACTTTTTCATATATTTCATTATTTGCGATAGTTTATTTTAACGTATTTAATTTTTACTAAATTTTTGTGTCATTTTATTTTATTTTATTTCACTTAATGGTTTTCATATTTTTCCTTTTAAACACAAATTTTGTTCGGAAAAAATGTGTTTGAAGGGCAGATAAATTTTGAAACCTACTTGAAAAAAGCACGAAAGCAATTCAAGTGAAAAATGATTTTACTTTTTTGAATTTTGTATGGAAATTGGCAGAAAATAAAAAATCATTTTCCATTTAAATTACTGGCGAAACCGGCTATGATTTTTCTCTCCTTAAATTTATATTATTTTATAATTTTTATTTCATCTTTTTTATTTTTTATTTGGTTTTCTTTTATTTTATTTTATTCTTGTTTATTTTATTTTATTCCACAAAAGTTTTTTATATATTTTCATGGTTATTTTTAATTTTGTAGCTTTTTATTGTTTTATATTTTTATTTTGTTTTTAACCTTTTTTTATTTGGTTTTAATTTCAATTTATTTTATTTTATTCTAGTTTTATTGCTTTATTTTAATGATAACTAGTTTTTTTCATACTTTGTATATTCCATGTTTTTTCATGGTTTTACTTATTTTAAATTCCATTATTTTATATATTTTGTTTTATCTTTTATATTTCTTATTTAGTTTTAATTTATTGTGCTTTTATTTAATTTTACCAATGTATTTTTTTACATTTTTCATTATTTTTCATTATATGTTATTTAATATTTTATATGATTTTTAATAGACCTTTTATAATTTGCGGTTTTATTTTCATTTTATTCCTTCATTTCTTTTTTGTTTATTTCAAATCTTTTTAAATTTAATTTTTCTCAATTTTTATTTTATTTTATTCATATTTTATTTCATTTACTTTTCTATGAATTTTTTTCACTTTATTCCTTTTGTAGTTTTGATATTTATTCTTTCTTCTTAATTTGTTTTTTAATCTTTATGTATTTTTTTCATATACATATCGTCGTTTAAAGTACAAAACCGCGTTTCGTTGCTCTGCAAAACCGCGTAACTGACATTTGCTGCCAAAATTGCTCACACAAGCTCTTGGCTTAATTAATGCGATTGCTTTATAAAAAAAGGGAGAACCATTTTGAGATATGAGTATTTTTACTCTAGAAAATAATTTATGCAACCTCACATACGCGGTTTTGCATTTTTTTTTTGATACGCGGTTTTGTACTTTAAACGACGATATGTATGTATATCTTGTACATTAAAAAAAATTTAATTCAGTTTTTAAATTTTTATTATTAATTTGATGAAACTGCCGTTATTTCGTCTCATAAAAAACGTCTGCAAAAATGTGTCTCAACTTTCTTGAGATTCGAAAAATCTTAAAAACCAAAAAAAAAATAGTTTATCTGTTAAATTTAATACTTCATATCATTTATTTACTTCAACTCGCTAACATTTTCGCTTGAATATCGATTAATATGCACATAAAATATACATCAGTTACTAGCTAATAAAGTTTCAAGGTAAATAACGAAAAAAAAAATAATTAAAAATTTAAAACTTAAATAGCAGATTTTCATGCTGCATTATTATTTATGTATTTAAAATTAATAACTGTAAATATTTGTGTATAAAGGAATGTAACTATTTAGTAATTTATGTATATATGTATGTATGTAAATATAAGTATTCAGCACTTATTAGGTTCGCATTAAATATTTCATATTCATAAGTATATATTTCAACTACTAATTATAAACTTCATTTCATGTATGTATGTAGGCATAATTTTTGTAGTTATTAAGTTGCACTTTTTTGTTTTTTTGAATTTTCCATAGTTAGCGAACAAAGCAACAACGCAAATTGAATAACATTTGACGCATACAAGCGCAACGTATGTATACATACACAATAACAATACAGAGAGCAACATAAAAATTGAAAAAGTTATGCATAAAAAAAAAAACGTGATTAATAAGCGTTTAAATGCATTTACAAAACAAAAACTTAATACTCGTAGACAAAGTTGTATGTTGAATATGTATGTGGATACCTGGTAAGTTAGATTCTGCTAGGTTTGTCTATTAACACCATTACAATACAATTAAAACAAATATTAGATAAACTAGTTAATTTTAAATTATTTTCAGTTGTAATGTTTAAAGTTTGTTGACTTTGCATATGTATGTTTATCTTAAATTCACTTGTATTTTGGGTTTAAAAATATATTTAGATTTTTTTTTTGTTATAATTTGACAAACAAGCTTGCACAGCGTATACATACATATTTATAATCAACGCAAAATCACAAAGAACAAATTAATTAGTACATATCATCTAAGCGCAAAAGCTGTGTTGCCAAGGGTTAAGAAACGACTTATTAAGTTATTTTTCATTACGTTACGTGAGCTTAAATTCGTATTTTTTTATTATTTGTAAATTCACTTCTTTCTTAAGTCCGTGCACTAACAAACATTTTAGGTATCAATTAAATTTAATAATAGTTTAAGCGAACACAAATGTGCTTTGAATGTCTAAGCTTTAAAGCACAAGTGCGTTCAAAGTGTTAATATGTTACACATACGATGTTGAGCAAAACATGCACTGACAGCCAAATTTATACCAAAATAAAATTTTAAATGCTAATTTACTTTATAAAGCATCTGAAATCAATTTAATTTTCTAAGGATAATACTAAGTTCAGATGGCCAGCTAAATTGAACAATTAGGAAAATAAATTTAAATTAAACGAACTAAATTTAAAAACAACAAATAATTAAACTTATTATATTGAGTAAAAGTTGTCACTCAAAACTGTAAGACTTGGTTAAGAAACGCAAAAATATTCAAATAAAATTACGATGCCGATTAAATACGCGATAAATAAAAAATGAAATAAAATTCATTTTTAAAACTGATAATAAAAATTCAAAATTGATGGCAGTTAATTATTATGAGTGTGAGATTACTAATTGAGTAAGCTACATAAATTTATTGTGAGTGAACATGAAATTTAATAACTCAATTTAGCCGACTGTTTGAACATAGCATAAGGATTTTAAGGTCTTTAACAAACAAAAAAACAAAAAAACGCTAAAGCAGCTAACGCATACTCTCATTAAAAGTTGTTATGCGCCTTTTTTTAGAACACAATACATCAGTTATAATTATGGAGTAGTTTCAAATAATGACAATTTACTAGAACACTAAAAAAACCAAAAAAATAATAATAATTATATTTATAATATTTAACGTTTTTCGTTACAAATATGTGTGTACAAGTACAAGAACATTTTCTTAATCGTTTAGTTTAATATTTTTTAATCTAAGTAATTAACACATGGTTGCATTTCGATAACACTCGCGCATATTTAGCTAGTAATAACTACATAGCATAATTATTTTGTTTTATTAAATGTTTCTCGATTGCTACTTTATTGGATTTTCTATTCGCTTCACATTAAATGAATGAAATCTTAAAGCGTTTATCAAAATTTTCACTCAAGTTCGTTAAAATTTTTTTTTATTTTTTTTTTTTCGTTTAAGGCTTTTGGTTGTGGTAGTCGAAATAGTTAATCAAAAAAATGCATAGCAGCAAACACAAGGAAAAAAATATTTAATAAAAAACAAATATTTTTTCGTAGTCTGCAACAGCAAATGAGCAGACCAACCCTATTTCACTTTTTTGCTTCACCTGGACGCTTGCTTCCGCTCTAAATACAATTGCAGAGCGCTAAGACAAGAGTCCTGCTGGTGGAATTTTTTCGAAACAATTTTTTTTCTAATTTTCTAACGGTACATTAAAATATATTTGCGATTCGTTTAAGTGTAATGAGTGCAAAAAATAAAATGTTTAAGCAAAAATTTCTTTGTGTGGCAATAGTAGCGGTTTCTTCGAGCGAATATTGGGCATATGTGCTATTGCGAATTTTTTAAAAATAAATTGAAAACTTTTTTGTTTAATAAATTTAAGTGTTTACAAAAAAATCATAAATTTGAGACATTTTCTTTTTAATTTTTTAGTTACTTTTTCCAAAAAGTGTACAAAATCAATTTTTTTGAACAAAATTTTCTAATACAAACATACGTATGCAATAAAAGTCTTGTTAAATTTTAGAGGATTAATATTTTCACCCAAAAACTAATTTTGACAAAAACAAATTTTTAAAATAAATAATTTATTCGTGTGAAACGAAAAATTTTAAGTATTTTCAGGAAAAAAGGAAGCAAAAAACCCCTATTTGTGAAAAAAACACTACTTTTCAGAATTTTTTAATCAAAACATAGAAAATTCGCATTTACGCCCAACCATATACGAGTACATATTACGAAACCAAGTGACATTTTCGCGTGAATCAAAAGCTTTACGAAAATAGGCATTGCATACTTTTAGGCACTCCGTATAATGGGATTGAGTTCGAAAGCGCAGTGAAAAATTATTTCACTTTACCTTTTAAGCTACTATGCGCAGGTGACTTGACTTCGAAATAAACTATATCGCACGACAATAAATCTTTTGCGAGGATTCAGATACCAAACTAATATGAATACCTAAAAACTTCACACACATTTCATCGTCTAATCATAGCCCTGCCCTACAAAACTCAGCTACTAATTTGCCAACTTCAAATTCATAGTTTTTGTTTGCTTTTTGATTTTGATTTTGTTTCAGTATTTTCGTTTTGGTTTTACTTTCTGCTGTTGGTTTTTTGCATCATAAATTTTTCACTATTTTTCGAATTTTTCAAATAGATTTAATTTTGAATTTAATAATAATTTAACAATATATGTATTATAAATTTTAAATTCTATATCCTTTTGGCAAGCAAAACATTCCACACTGTCGTCGTCGCACAGTTCGCCACATTCAACGCCTAGACTGCTTTTCTGACTCTGCTCATTGACTAATCAGCATTCTTTGCATACCAGCGCACACGCGCGCTCAACTCACTTCCTTGCGCGCTTAATTGATACCCAAGAATATACGCTCAAACTCTTTGGACGCCAATTGCAATTCTTCTTTAGTCACCACAATATCCTCAAAGCGCTTTACCTCCGGCAACGGTACGCCATGTGTCAGTGTTAGCGCACGCGCACGCAATACACGCGCGCGTCCTGCGCTCGGTGTAACTTCATGCGCCTGTGCACTCGTTGCCGCTTGAACGCTTGAAGTGGGCGTGAAAGTGACGTTAGTTGTGTGGGCGCGCTGCCGTTTCGCCATGTCGCGGCGCCTTTGCGACGCGGTAGTCGATGTCACGCTCGATGCCGCGTGCCCAGCAGCGCTGCCGTTGGTTGTCTCGTAACTGCTCGCCGTAGGCGGTGTGTAGTATGCTATATTTGTGCTGCTACGCACATGATGATTGAGCGCCTCAAGCGGTGTCGAGTGCGCGGCACTACTGGTTTCCATTGGCGTTAGTGCGCTCACAAAGGAGGCGCCATTCATTGTGTGACAAAAATCTGGTGGCGGTAGCGGTGGATACTTTGGCGCGCTCCGCAGCGTTGCGCTCTTTTCGCCAGCGTCCAGTAGGCGCGCACTGCCGTTCGAGGTTGCATTATTGTTTGCAGCTGCGGTTGACGCCCGCTGATTGTGGCTGCCTGCGTTGGATGTGAGTCCAAAGTACTTAGCAAACTTTTCGTCTATAATCGAGTTGCGCGGCGTTGTAGACGCGCTGCTGCCGCTGCTGCAGCTGTTGTTAGCACTGCCGTTTAACTTGATGGCGGCGCTGCCGCTATCATTTGCGCCGCTAACAGCGTGTGTGGTGTGACGCTGTAACATTAACGCCGACAACGAAGCATTGCTCATTATGCGCGAAAACTTCTTGCGCATCTCCACCACGGGCGAGCGCGTTTGCTCTGTCACGCCAGAGGCGCTTGGTGAAAGTATTAACAGCGGCGCTGTATGCTGTGTGTCGCAGTAGTTATTCTCCTTGCCAGAGTCTGCATTGTTGTCCTCGTTGCTGTTCACGCGTGCCGCCAGCTGTGCCGCATTGCCATTCTGCAGCGATTTGCTGAGCGGCAACGAATTGACGTCGCGCTCACCGCCACCGCCACCCCCATTGGCGACATTATTTTCCAGCGCGGCGAGCGCGTTGTTGTGCGGCGTCGATTTGTGATCATATTTCATGCACTTCGAGTTCAGCTGGTGGTGCTTCTGCTGCATCTGCAGGCAATTCTCAATGAATGGTGACTTTATTTTGCCAATTTTCTTGAGCTGTGGCGGTGGCTTGCTGCCCAAATCGATGCTGCTGCATTCGCTATCGCAGGTGTCGTTGTTGCTGCCGTTAGCCATCATGTGACTACCACTCATGTTGTTGTTGTTGTAGTTGTTGTTACTGCTATTGTTATTATTGTTGTGCTGATTGCTATTGCGCTCGTTGTTGAGGAACGTCTGCGGCAAAAGCAGCTTGCCAATGGTTTTCATTTTGATGCGGCGCGCAACAGGCGTTAGCGCATCAGGCGAAGTTATAGCTGCAGTCGGCGCCGTGGCCGGAGCTGGCGCGGACATGTCCAAGCGATGCGCCAAAACCGATGGTAGTAATGTTTGTGAGCTTGACTTGGTCAACTTGATGAATGCTGAAGTCTGGTGCGATGACCTATACGCGCTTTCCACCAACTCATCGTCGTTATGCTCCTCCATCTGCAGCGCTGAATCGATTTCGTTAATTGAAATAAGTTGTGGCTCCAATAACGGTGGCGAATAGCACTCCATGGGTGTGGGCGTGACGCTGGCGCTGCTATTGCTAGTGCTGCCGCTACCGTTTAAGCTGCTGCGAGGCGTGAATGTGAACGAATTTTGGTTGGTGTAAGAGTTGGCGCTGCCACAGCGGTCGGTGGAGAAATAGTGCTGCGGTGGGCTGCGTGTATAGGAATTGGAAGCACTGCGGTTGGCCGCCTCGGCGAGGTTGGTGAAGAAGCGTAGCCGCTCGGATACTGGTAGCGATGTGGGCTCTGCGCTTATCCAGAAGCGATGGAGTGCGTAGAATAGTTTTGTTGAAAGATAAAAACGAAAATGCATTAGTCTTTAAATGATGTGTCGATGAGAGGTCTACAACTACCTACGTGGCTTAGTTTTGAGCGGATTGCAGGGGTTTGTTGTTGTTGTTGTTGTTGTTGCTGTTATCGTTGCTATTTTCGTACGCATACTTGCTGCACGACGAATACTATTTGTTATGTGATATTAACTTTGCATTTATTGTTGTTGTTGTTGTGCTGCTTTAAACTAACAAAGTTGCCTAACTCTGAAATGACCTTAATTTTTTTTTTTGATAAAAATTCAACGATCGCACGCGCATTACTAAACTTTTAAAATGGAAGAAATATTTACACTTTTTGGGTTTTCTTTTTCGAAAAGCTCTTCCGCGATATTTCTTTAGAATCTTTAAAAGTACTATTCAACTCGCTTTCGTGCGGCAATCACAACTGACTTTAATCAACGAAATTCTAAAACTCCAGTTCTCACCAGTTGCATAAAAAAAATAATAAAAATAAAAAAAGAACCACTTAGGGAAGGAAGGTCATATCGAATAACTCATAAAATCAGCATGCGTCCGCCGCTACAAAATGCAATGCCATAAACCCTTCCAAGCTTATCGCCAGCTGGCAAATATAAAGAAAGAAAACCGCCCTTTCAATTCGTCGTCGTCACTTATGGCGTCGCGCCCAGCTCTTTTGCTCTGTAGCTTATCGCTTTAGTTTGAATGCTTTGTTTAATTTTTTTTTTTTGCATTAAACTTAGACACACATACGTATGTACATACAAATTCCGTTATCCTACAAGCATTTATTGTATATGCAACAATTTTTTGATAAGCTATACTACTTTAGCTGAGAAATGCCGCAATGCACTCACTGCAACTTTTGTTCAAAATTTTGTCGTTTTCTGCTATAAATATAATCGTAATGTCCAGAATTGTTTTAAATGTTTTAAAGTAAAATTTTGGATGACAATAATTTGACACACATCAAAACACGAATGAAAAAAAAAATACAAATATGAAAACGTCAATGCCATGCCGACTGACTTTTCTGAGTGAAAATATTAAATACCCAGTAGTATTTGGAATCATCATTCGATTGGATCGACAAATGCCTTAACTCTTATTTAACTTTTCAGCTGATTTGACAATCATAATCCCCATCAAAATATTCCTGAAGAAAAATATATTGCGTTGGCCGATATATTAGGTTACGTTACGTAAATTAATTTTATACTAACAGGCCTATTCTGCGCTAGTAATAAAAAGTTTGTAACCGGTAAATAAAGTTTCTGTCAATCTTTAAACCCATTTCGTATTCTGTGTACTCTTGTAACCGGTAAATTTTGTTACCATCTCATTATCTAGTAACAAAGTATTGCCCCGTGAAATATGCAATGCCAGAATTTGCACAATTCCGCATAGCTGAATTGCTGAATATTTTAACTGCATTACCAACGTACCTCACGCATCGCGGTGACAAGAACTGGTAACATTTTTTGGTAACAAAATTTTCCGGTTACAAAATCTTCGGTAACGTGCAGAATAGACCAGTTAATGGGATGAATAAAAAATATATGCAAAAGTAGGTTTTTTTATTACTTTATTTAATAGTACGATTTTTTAGCTTCCAAAATAGAAAATAAAAAGTTGCTAATTTTTTGCACTTTTTGAAATGCGTCTTTGCTAATGCATAAAATAATTTATTCATTTCTTGTCTGTGCCACGACGCACGAATTGTTCGATTTTCAAAAAAGAGGTGACAGATTAAAAAGCTTGACCTTTTGATTTAAAATAAAGGTTTATTTTTTTAGAGTTGCCACCTGTTAAAAATTTAAATTCAAATTATTTAATAAGTTAAATGAATTATTAAAATATTGGTATCAATCGAAATGGGGGTAAAAAGGGTTAATTTCTTAAAACTACATGCAGCAGGGTTGCCACCTGTTTAAAAAATCAAATTCCATTCGACCTACGGTAATTAGGTACTTGAATTGCATAGGTATGACCATATGGTAGTTAGAGGTTTAAGAAGGTTACAGCTTACAAATATTTTGAAGAGGGTTGCCACCTGTGTGTAAAGTCAAATTTAGTTAAACTAAAATAATAAAATAATAATTGTGTCAAACCAAAGGTCTACGACATCGTATTTGTTATTTTATTACAAATACATACATTGTCAATCAGTGATTTGTTCTGATTACATTCCTTTTAAATTACTAGACTCTTAAATTAACTCAGGAATGTTTTTACTCTTCACTTATTTCTTGGTAAATATGTCCAATTTTTTCTTGTGTCTGATATCCATATTGATATACATATTTCACAGTGACCTTATTCCCTTAATTAAACGGAATTCGATTTTTTAAACATGTGGCAACATTTCTACGTATATTTTAGAAAGCATTTTCAACACCATTTCAATTGATATCCTTGTTGTAATATCTAATTCATTCAACTTATTAATTGATTTTAATAAAATTTGTAACAGGTGGCAACCCTTTTCAAAAAATTAAAACTTTATTGCACATCTACAGGCCAAGCCCTGTCATTGGACACCTCTCTTTTTAAAATAGAGCGAATTATATGTAAATACCTATATAAATGCTACAAAAACCCAAATTTTCAACTTAAAACTGCATTTACAGTGGAGGCATGCAAGTTATCCAAAAACCAATGCGCATTTTTGAATTCAGCGCTCTCAAGTTCATTAAGAAACAAATTTTCATTCAAATCCGTCCACAATCCTATTTGTGCCCACATTTTATATGGAAGGGGAGGCACTGTGCGACGTGTCGGTACATAGTGTGTATGTATGTATGTATGTATGTACGTATGTGCATTCTTTTTGCAAGCACTGATACCACGTAACGAAATTTTTCTTGTTCATATAACAAGAAATTGCGCCGATTAAAATAAGACGGAAGCATAATAAAACATAATGATAATAATTGAAAAACAATAAACAAATCGGGAAAATGCAAAGATTTGCAAAAAAAATTTTGTTGTATTAATCCAATTCTCATTTTTGCATTTTTATTAGCAACCGACAACCGGCAGTTTGGCTAAAATTAAAAACTGCTAGCATAAACATGCGCACAAATGCATAATATACATATGTATGTACATATGCGCATTAGCGTGAATCTTCAAAAAAAAAAAATATATATTTATTAATAGCCAGTTTCACGAAAGTAATTTAAGGCTGCATTTCTTTATTAATTCTGAACGTTTGGAATAAACTTTTTTGTTTACTTATTCTTTAGAATGTTCCTGATGATATTTTAACGTATATTTCAAACGCATTCTGTTTATTCCGGCTGTGAAATGGGATTATCCTAAGTGAAAAATGTTTTCTTTTTATTTGAATTTAATATGGAAACGGGCAGAAAAAAAAATAATTTTTCACTTAAATTTATTTCGGGAAACCAGCAGTAAGACTTATGCCAATTTTTTTTTGGAAAAATAAAAGATGTATGTGGGCTGGGCCGATTTGAAAATAACTCCAAAAGTTTTATTATTTTGATGCCCTTGATACAATTTTATTTATTTTTTTCTTTAGAAAAAATATTTTTAAAAACTAAATTTATTTATATAAAACTAGATTTTTGCAGGTATTTTCAAATAGGTCTAGCTCACGTAAATTTGTAATATTTTACCGAAATATTTCGGCGCAAGTTTTAAAGTGTAATAAATTAAGAGTACTGATTTATTTTTATATGGAAAGTGATGCACCCTAATGTACGTACATTTATACATATGTATGTATACATGAATGCTACATATCATGTTTGAGTAATCGGTTATATGCACGAGCATTTCGTCTGCCGCAGTGGCTGTGGTACCCGTATGGTTAATTTATGAGTTAATAACAAACCCAGAAATGAGTAGAAAAAATTAAAAATAAATGAAAGAAAAAAAAACCAACTTTTCTTTGTACTATTTTTGTATGTTTGTGCGAAATCAGAGCAATATTGCTTAAATAATAAAAAAAAACGTATTATGTAGTACATATTAGTTATGTATGGATGTGTATGCATTAGAAGCTTAGTAGATACATATGTATGTATGTATGCGGCTGTTGATAATAGTAAATAAGTAAATAGTAGAAAACACAACAACAACAACAAATATTATATATATATATATATATGTTTGCATAGCATGCGCAACAACAACAACGTGCCATGTTATTTAAAAAAAAAACAAATATGTATATAAATGCAAAATAAATCGAATCAATTCAAAAAATTATAAATTTGCATTCCATTTAGTTAAAATAAATAATTTTACTTAAAAATA